AGGCAGCAACAAAGAGGACCAAGTGGAAAGCAAGTTAGTCGGCTGCAGAGAAGAAAATGAAGCACCAACTTGTACCAGCATGCTCATTTGTTGTAAATACTTGGAATGTAGCTATTAAGGGAGAAAAAAAAAATCTGTACAAAAAGTCAGAAAAAGTCAAAGTTACGACAAGACAATAACAATTTTAATTCCCTCACAATGTTAAAACTAGACAATGTTCAGCATTTTACTCAAAAATAATATTTTCTCTTATCAAGATACTTCAAGCGCTTTACACTACAATCTGTGCTCTCATTTACCCATTCATACAGCACTCTAGTATTTCTGTACGAAGACTAATCCGAGTTTTATCACATTCATACACCGATGGGACACACATCGACATCGGAGGCAATGAGGGGTTCAGTGTCTTGCCCAGGGACACTTCAGCATGTGACTGATGGTGGAATCAAACCCCCAACTCTTGCACTGGAGGACGACTGCTCTAACCACTCACCCACAACCTAAGAAGTCCAACAAGTAAGCATCAAATTATTTTAAGACAAAGTTATTTCCATTCAGAATATTAAATAAATAAATAAATAATCTGTTCGCACAAATGTAGCAGCTTCCTGGCTTTGTGTACAGGATAAAAGCCCCTGCAGAGCTTGCATCTTTAAGTCAGAATATTTTACAGGAGCCTGAGTGAACTTCATTACCAAGCAGAGACAGCATTTTATTCAGAACAATAACACAATCAAAGTGCAAAGCAGGAAACCATGTCTGGTTTTACTAAGCTAGTGAGTAGGAGGAGGCCTAGTAGTTACCATGGTGCAAAAAAGATACCGGTGTACAATGGTACTTTCATCGTTTCAGTAAAGGCAGCAGCTTCCTCAATAAATGCTATCACATTTCCACCAGGCTCCACCTCACAGATCATGCTGCTGCCTTCAAGGGCTTGAAAACATCAAAGGTAGCAGTGGGATTTTGCATTCCTGTCAAGAGCATTACAACCTCTGGAGCTTCCCCTCCTCATAAAAAGCCCTGCGCCGCATATGGCCACAACCATGCGTCACCGTTTTCAGAGCACAGTCAAATGAGACACGTGAAGCTTCCTCTGTTCCCTTTGGTTCGCAGTCACTCCCTCCTGCTCTGCATCTTTCTATACCTCCTTATGATGCACATCTACCTCCTGTGGGCAAGGGGAAAGGAGTGTGAATCAAGAGGCAAACAGCCAGAGCATGAGATAACATAACTACCGGTATGTGCCTCAGTGACAGTGTGGCTGGCTGCTCTGCACAAAATATTATTTACAGCTCACGCCGAGGAGAAATTACAGCAACAATCCTCTCCAGAAGCAGGAAAAAAAAAAAATCAGCTGACCTGGCAATACTTAGAGAGAGGCCAAGAGGAGGGTCAGGCACTATAATTATTAAATTGCCTCTACTTCTTCACTGTCGCTATCTATACTGCTCACACAGTGTGTAGGGGATTCAGCCCACTGGTGACAACAAGTTACTGGTGCATGTGAGAATGATAAAGAGGCAATGAAGGTGGTTTAGCATTTATAAACCCCTTTGCAGATATTTTCTCCACTTTGAGGAAGCCCTCTTGCAAATAGCACATAAGAAGGGCAATGGAAACCAGCAAGATACATTTTAAAAGGGTGTGAGTTAAAAAGATTATGACAGGGCATTTTGTTTTGGAAATGCATCAGAATTTTACTGAACAAACTTTGAGGCCAAAAGCACATAGAGACTGTAGATCAGTTAAATAGAAAAACTTTTTTTTGTTTGCGATGCCAAATTTAAATTTTCTATTTAACAAGAAGCAAACAGTTCAAGCAGGACAAAGGAGATTTAAAAAAAAAAAGTTCATTGCAATTTTGTTTAACTAAAGAAGAAATTGGTCAATTATCAAGTAAACATATTTGGCTATGAAAAGTTATGTTTTTATGTCCTGATGCATGCTCAATAATCCAGGTAGAAGGTTGAGTCATGTCATCTGAACGGATTCTTCTTTGTTGAAATGTTTCGTCTTTAATCCAAAAGACTTCTTCAGTCTGAGGAGCTGCAACAAACCCAGCACCTTCTCATAGAGGACCAACCAGTTTGCTGGTGACAACCAAAAACTAGTTGTTCACATGCAAAAGGAGGACCATCAGCCTAACCAGATGGTCCTCCTTTTGCATGTAAACTAGTTTAGGCTGTCACCAGCAAACTGGTGCTATGACCACCAGACTACCACAGTGAAAAGGTGCTGCTTATAAGACTGAGTTTGTTGCAGCTCCTTCAGGATAAAAGACGAAACGTTTCAACAAAGAAGAATCTGTCCAGAGGACCTGACTCAACCTTGTTAGAGTTATGCTTTTAGCAGTGTCTCGGGTACTATTTAAGCTCAAATCTGACAAATCACCCCTAAACGTTATTGGACTCTCTATTTAACTTTGGCTTTAAATCCAAATGGATCATCTGCAGAGTAGTCATTCTGGGCTTTGCAACTAAATCTATGGCTTTAGCGTCATAACTCTCATCCATAAGTCAGTCAAAAATTAAGCTCCTCCAGATAAATAGCAACATTAAAGCAAAGTGCAAGATGTGGTAGAAAGCTCTGGAAAAATAGTCATGGAAAGATGAAATTGTGTTGGTTTCAGTTATCTTTTTGTTACACAAGTAAGGTGCATTTTACAAGCCTAATTATTGGCTCATTTAACAACATTCATAACGGCTATTCAGGGGACTCAACAACAGGTACTTAGATCTTTGTAGCTCATAATGAAGTGCATAGCTTTAGCATTTGTTTTCAGGCACAGACACCTGCGCCTGAAGGAAAATGCTTCAGGCATGAAACATCTATTTTCATTAAAACCAAAACCATTTTATTTTATAACAAATCTGCTACACAGGTTTCACCCTACATTTACTTATTAAAAGTAATATTTTCGTTTTGAAAATCCACTAAAACAACTCTGCAAATGCAACAAAGCCCTTTTTATAGGCTGTGTCTTGATCTTTTCTTGAGCATGTTTTTTTATTTTCAACGTTGACCAGTGTTTGATGCCAAAGCAGCTAAAAAAAAACTATAATTAGAACGTACTGTACAGAAGTCATTCACAAACGAAAATGTGTGTACTATGTTTCAAATGTGTGAAATGTTACATGAGAAATGAAGACAAGAGGCTTATGAATAAAATGTAAACAATTAGATGCCAGATGGAAAAATAAAATGTTTCGTAATGCACAGAATGCAATGATGGACATAAAATGAACCATCTCAATATCCTGATGCATCGTCAATAATCCAGGTAAATCTAACAAAGTTAAGTCAGGTCCTCTGGACAGATAAAAAATAATTTTTTTTTTTTTTTTTAAATGTTAAAACATTTCATCTTTTATCCAAAAGACTTCTTCAGTCTGAGGAGCTGCACTAAACTCAAGTCTTATAAATAACCCCTTCTCATATGAATCAACCAGTTTGCTGATGACAGCCAAAACTAGCTGGACCTGAGCTTAAGGACTTGAGCTTACCCGACTTAACTTTGTTAGAACAATCTCAGTGTCTCTGAGCTCGGAAGAGATGATGTTAAAAAAATAAAAAAAAACTATGGAAGTAAAATGACAAAGAGCTTTAAGGCTTTGGTAAAGACACCTACTGCCTTCATCGTTGACTGATCAGTTGATTTAGTCCGTTCTGGCTTTTCGCCTTTTCAGCAGTTGTCACAGCAAGTCATCCTATTTTATCTCGGTCTTCTGTCCTCACTCCAACTACCTCCATGTCCTCCCTAACTGCATTGTATATCTCCTATTTGTCTTTGTCCTGGCAGCTGCATTTCTAACATCCTTCTGCCAATATACCCACTGTCCCTACTCTGGACATGTCCAAACTAGCTTAGCCTCTCTCTAACTTTATCTCCCATCAACCTCAACCTGTGCTGTACCTCAATCTTATCCATTCTTGTCACTCCTAAGGAGAACATCAACATCTTCAGCTCTGCCACTTCCAGTTCAAAGACCTGTCTTTTTGTCAATGCGACTGTCTCCAAAATCATGCAACATAGCTGTATGGTATAGGTCTCACTACTGTCCTATAAAGCTTCCCTTTATTTCAATAATAGTGTTTAAATGTTTGAAAGGGAATAGTGGAAAGTGACGCTACATCTCTCCAGTCAAAATTGTATACAATTGTTCTTCCCCCAGACATCTGTAATATTGACTCCCTTCAAATCACAGCTCAAAACTCATCTGTTCCAGTTAGCCTTCTCACTTTCATTTTTTGGTTATTTTCTTCTTGGTTTAGTGTTTTTATAGCCATTTTGTATTGTTCTATTTTGTGTTTTTAATGTTGTGAAGTGTCCTTGGGTGTCTTGAAAGGCGCTAACAAATAAAATGCATTATTATTATTATTTTGTTGCATGCAAGACAAAAATAATAAACTGTAGATGTATCCACTTATATGCACACATACAGATCGTATCTATACAAAGAAATTTATTTACATCTGGTATCCACAATTACACATGTATATGTTCACATCCAGATAATCTATTTTTATTTCATAATTAGTTAATTACAATCATAAGGCTTTTCTTCATACTAATACTTTGGAAACATCATGAGTTTATATTCCTTTTAAATTGCAGGACCCCAGTCTAATGAGCCCCTCTGATGATAGTAAAATCGAAACCAAGAGAAGTTTTCAGGAAAATATTGTAACAACAAATCATGAGTGTCCACTTTACTGACTCTTTGAAAAATCCGGATTTTTCGGTTGCGAATTACCGGAAGGTGAGAACTTAAAAAGGGGGATATGTTTGAACATCATGAAGTGAAGACAACAGCTACTGTTGACCACAAACAGTAAATAAAAACAACATAAACATACTCATGGTGTGTCGTTGTGTTTCTGAGTGACTCGAGGTGCCAGCTGAGCGGTTTAAACGTCAGGAGCAGCAGCTGGATGTCATAAGCTAACACTGTGTGTGTGTGTGTGTGTGGTGGAGATGCCATGAATGCAACACATACCAAACGGTTGAGTCTTCTCCGCAGCATCCTTTTTTTTTTATTATTTATCTTTTTTTTTAATCTCGCAGAACTGCTGAACTCTTCTGATTCCACACACGCCTCCTGGCTCCGCTTCTTCAGCTTCTCCGGGGAATAACTTTACATGTATATGTTAGTTGGCGCGCTAGCTCCTTTAGCTATCTGTTTCCTACTCTAACGTTAGTTCTAGCTATATGGAATGCCGGAGCGACGCTACATCGTTTCCATTTCGTTTGGCTTCGGTATCTTCGCACCATTCGCATTCTCTCCCCCCTGGATATTATCCGCGTTGCGGTGGTGGTGTACAACTACTAGTAGTAGTCGCGCTCCCCGTTGCTCAAGGCTGAAACTGCCGTTGACGTTCCTCTCCCTGTGCCCTGTTGCTTACACTCGCACGAAACATTTGTCTCTTCTCGAGTCTGCCTCCCCCGGGGCTCGGACACTGTTCGCTGACGCGGGTAAAAACTAACTTTAGAGGCGGCAGTCCCTGAGCACAGGTCGCGTCGCCTCCCTGTCAAACAATTTTCACTCCGACAAGCAGCAGTACACCGCTCGGATGTTCCCACGTTCACACGCAAGCTCCACCCGGCCGGCGAAGGTGCGGACTACTGTGGTCCGCAGTGCATTGTGGGTAATGATGTCCCAATTTTAGACGGAAACCGGTTTGTGCCACATTCCCTTTTCTTTTCGTCTGATGAGGTATGTTTAGATTAGTAAAAAAAAAAAAACTCTATCTCAACCATAATAATAGATAATAAAATAGATAATAAATTGATCATCTCAATTAGCTTACTTTAAAATAAAAAAAGCTTTTGAGCTATCACAAACTATACCGCTATCAGTTCTGATGATGACCTATATTCAAGTGACCTTAAAAGAAACACCCAAATATTGAGCATGTATCAGGATGCCAAAATGTCTAATTTTACAGATTAGTTTGGGGTATTTAGTGGAATAATCATATGGGTGCACAAAATCAGTTTACAATTTTGTTTTATCAAATCTATTCCATTGTGGTTATTCATTTAACCTTTATTTATACAGGTTAGTCTCGATCCTCGAGGCCTCATTTAAAAGAGAGACCTGTTTAAACAAAGAACACAGATGAGCTACAGACAACAACAGACAATCATATAGAAAGCATATAAAGTGAAAAGTAAATAGAAGAAATTATTTAACAACAAAACAAAAAGCATTATAAAGTGATGTAAAATACTAGAAACAGGAACATGTTTGCATCGGTTTATACCACGGTCAAGACCAAACCCAGCTCGTTTGAGCTGCAAAATAATTTTCTAAACAATTCAACACTGGATGGTTCACATTAGTTAGATAAAGCAAATTTGTATCCATCCATTATCTTTATCCGCTTCTTCCTTTTTGGGTTGTGGGGGTCGCAAATGTGTATTTTAGTGAATATTTTAAATGAAGTATAATTAAAAACAAAAATATGCAATTAAAATAGCATGCTGGATAAAGACTCAAAGGGTTAGAACAGCTGTTTTCACTTTTGTATGTGATAGCTTGAGTGAACTTAGCAGCTATTTGCATGTGGTTTGGAGTTTGCGTTTTAGCTGGCAACTCCCTGAATTCAAATTAAGCAAGTGTCTGTTGAAAACTCAGTAAGAGTGAAAAAGAGGGAAGTAGATTTAAAACAGATACTTGTGCTTTTGATAGTTGATATTTGGGGCATGAGCTTACTGCAAGGTACTCATGAGTGTGTGATTTTTTATTTTTATTTTTTACCATATACACAAAACAAAGCAGTCTTCATTTCAGTATCAATTATTGCTCCAGACATGAGTTTTTTTTTTTTTTATTCAAACAATTTTGAATATATGGAAGCCTCAAAGTTAAAACTCTGAAAGAATATCCTTGGAATAAAGTGAGTTTTTAAAAAAGGAGCTGGGTAGCTATAGTGTACCAGAGATAACAAAGTGACTCTAAATCACACAATAACCATCATGACTACTTAAAAAAAATTGTTTTAGATCAACTTAATCCACAGCATCCAATCAGGGCAATTACAAAAGCATTGATCTATTTTAGCTACATACAGCACGTGTTCATACCTTTGCAAACGCTTTCATAACAAACCTGTTTTACCAGCTTAAAAACTTTTAAATTCATTTACACTGGACTTTCAGTTCAAATGTGCACAATCATAATTTGAGGAGTTCTTAAATCTGATAAAAATAGTTTTGTTTTGTTTTTTTGAACACACCAGTCAGTATAAAGCGTAGGTTTTCTTATTAAACATGTTTGAGCATTTATTGTATCTAAGCTCTTCAGCATTTTAGCATCTTGATAATTTTTTTTGTTTTCAATGGCTGGGTTTTAAAGCAGTGACTAAACATAAATGAATGTTGTCAACGTCACTCAAAAGAGTAATGAAGAACAAGGATGACTCTGACACGTCACTTTTGAATTAAACTCAAAGTTGGACTCTATCGCCACCATGTGGCAGATTGAAATAGTGCAGTTGTTGCTTTTTTTGTGTCCAGATGATTTTTCTTCTCCAGCAGCCACCCTGTCACTCAGGGAGACTGATAAGATAAGATAAGATAAGATAAGATAAGATAAGATAAGATAAGA